GAATTTTCAGAACACTCAGTTCTAAGCGGGATCTCTTCATCACACCCCTCCCATCAGGGCTCAGGGATGTATGCAGAAAAGTAGACAGAACGGTTGTAAGAGCCAGAGGGTGACTCCACGGAAACAGTGTCTTCCAGACACAACAGGACCGATGCACTTATGAACTCACAGAGACTGTGACAGCATGCACGGGGCCTGCACAGGCCCAAGCTAGACGGGGTCCCAGTGCTGAGAGGGGAAGTGGACAGAAGCCCCCATCCCTAACCAAGGAGCTATCTCCAATTGACTCGCATTTGCAAAGAAGTAGTAGTTCTCTCCAATGGCGTCTCATTGGGAATATTAACCATTCCCAGCACAAAACAAATTCAAAGGCATGTTTGTAGACTTTTTATCTCGTATTGCTTTGTTTGGGTATTTTTTTTCTTACTGGACTTTTGTTTGTATATTATGGTTTCTGATTTTGTATTTTTTATGAATTTTGTGTGTATGTGTGTGTGTCTTGTGTTTTTCCTTCATTTTATTTTTATTATGTTTTTGGGGTTTTTGTTTTTGTTGTTGCTGTTTACCTGTTTCCTAAAAAGAGAGAGAAAGAAAGGGTATGTGGAGCAGATCCGGGAGGGGTTGGGGGACAGAAAACTGTGATCAGAATGTATTGTCTAAAAATTTTTCTTCAATAGCAAAAAGAACCTTAATCTGTATTTTATCAACTTTCTTCAACTCTTGTTTTTTTATTTATTTATTTACTTTGTGGGTTTGGGTATTTTGTCCATATGTATGTCTATGAACCGTGTATATCTATGATGCAGGAGGAGGCCAGAAGAGAGTGTTGGGTTCCCTGGAACTGAAGTTATGGGTGGTTGTGAACCACCATGTGGGTGCTAGGAACTGAACCTGCGTCATCTGAAAGAGCAGCCAGCGCTCCTAACTGCTGAACCGTCTTCTCCAGTTCCATTTTCTTTAACTCTTTGCATCTCTAAAATCCTATCTTATTAATTATACAAACATAGCAAAATTGAATAATGTCATTTATTTTACTTTAATTTCTTTTAAAGGAATAAAACCTATATGTATAACATATTAGAGTGCACCTATTTTCTTGTGAAAAGTATTTTATGTATTGTAATTTTTCTTGTTTTAGCAATCTTTTCTTATTATAGGTTTAGGGAAACTGAATAATCAGTATTGAATTTGAAATCATTATTTCTCCATCCAACAAATGTCACCATATACCTGTTTTGGATCCTCAACTATCGTCTCCCCTGGACTGTCCCCCCATGCTCAGACAATAAGATGTCTGTGCTGTTACACAAAGGAGCAAGCCAAACACATCCCCACTCCAGCTTCCTGTCTTGCTCTAAGCGCTTCCTGTCACATAAGCTCCTCCCACGAAACCATACGTCATGGCGTGGTACAAGTCAAAGGAGCCCTCACCAGAGATTGTAGATGTCAGCCCTTGAACCTCCAAACTAAATCTCTCTCTCTCTCTCTCTCTCTCTCTCTCTCTCTCTCTCTCTCTCT